AAGAAAATCCTGCGTGATCCCACACGTTTGTAGGCGAAGACTGCCCGAAAGGCACAACTGCCTTGATTACAGCAAACGAAGCAGTTTCGTTGTATGTGTATCGAAAAATCATCACGCAATGGATTTCAAAGATTCTAATCTTAGATCCACGCGACAAATCGCTGCTTTAAATCACAATGCAAAACGTGTCGGCGAAAATGAAACGTCCTCATAATTGGGAAAACCACAGAAACAATCGTACTAGTCTAATTTATACAGTCATAACATTAAAATACATCGTGGAATTCATTCTTAAACATCTCTCTAACTCACAACATTATTATTCCGGAGTCGCATGAATCGCATGGATCGCGCAGCACGTTTACTTTAAGACGCAAAACATAATAACTCCTCTCGCTTCGAATATCAGCCGGGTGTCTCAGTTGAAATTAAAAATAAAATATAAGAGACGCGGTTACATAATACGAAACGTAAATATATCTGCAAACGGACGAAGGGGAATGATCAACGAAGATCTGCAATGAATGCACGTCGAGAAACGACTCCATTGTAGGCAAGAGAACAAAGATAGCGGCCGTACGATAATTCGCGATTCGAGATAGCGCTGTTACGCGGGAGAAGGAACGCGTAGACAGGTAATAGCAGGCCGCGATCGTTCGCTCGGGTGTTACTTGATCGGCTTGCCCCAAGCAAACTGTATTCCCAGCCGGGGGATATCGCTACCGGTGGACGACTCGTCCTCGCTGCTGGACGCCGAAGTTTCCTCGGAGATCATCGCTTCCCCGCCAGCTTCTTGAGGTCTCTGACCGCTGCCGACATTGCAATCATCCGCCGCCGCCGCTGCTGCTGCCGCAGCTGCCGCTACCGCGGCGGCCACTGCAGAATTCACAGTCGGTGTCGCGGATGATGTGGAAGACGATGAAGAAGATGACGAGGAGGGTGACGATTGTTCCTTTCTAGGACGTCGTCGTGAAATTGGCGTCGACATGAATGACGGTGACCATGCGGCTGCCTCCTCCACTGCTGCGGCCCGCGCTGAATCGCACGTAGTAGAGATACTCTTCGATCTCGCTCTGGTATCCATGGGTCTAGTGTTCGGCGTCAATCTGAGCGATCCTTGCCTAGAAACCGTCATCGCACCCTCGGATGATCTAGCTACTTTCGGTAATGTGCTAAGCGAGTCAGAAGATCCTTTCGACAGATCGTCGATCTCTAATGTCCAAGAGACAGAAGCGCCTTTTTCAACCATAAACTTCATCGACGATGAGTGCGCACCATTTTTATCGAGCGAATAGCTGTGATCTGATTGTTCCGGGCCTGCGGATCGGGTCGACCGTGGAGTCAGCTGATTTGCAAGAACGCTCACCCAATCGTTTTTATTTCGCAGCTTCCATTGTAGCTCTTCGTTCCGTTGCGACAATCGCTTATTGTGCTTCGAGACCTGATGAATCGATTCGTGAAGCATTTCATTCTCGTGCGAGATTTGCCGTTCGAAGGACTCCTTTCGCTGAAGCTGAGCCTTCAAGTCCTCACATCTGGCTTCCGCCATATCGAGTCGCACTTGTAAGGCATCCTTTTCCTCGATATCACGTCTGTAACTGTCGAGCTCGGATCGAAGGGCCGCGTTTTCTTGGCTCTTCAGTTCGAGCACGGATCTTAGCGATTCGATTTCTGCCATCAGTGCGGCACCTTGATCGTGAACCACGGATCTTCTCATCTCCTCTTTGCGAGCTAGCTCGTTGATCTGTTCGGCACGTAATTTCGCAATTGTCGCGCGATGCTCTCTTGTGACTTCGTCTAGCCTGACGTCGTACTTGCGCCTTTCTTCTTTCAAAGTTTCGACAAGCGTGGCGACCTGTTTCACTCTGTGGGCTTCCACTGGAAAATCGGAATATTAATTTAAATTTCCCTCAGATGACAAATTGTTTAATCTTAATTATCGTATTTCGCAAAAGATAGATCTATTGATTATTTATATATATTAGCAAGTAATTGTTCAACTTTTTGTCAATTCTACATGTAAAATATACAAGTATTTATTAATTTGTCATATTCGATAATTTTATCTGTAATATATTTATATATTAGATTTATTTGCACATTTTATTTCTATTCTTTTTATTTTTAACTTAGTATCAATCCTTTATTTTTTAAATCATGCTTTAAATCATTTATTTAACATATTTATGAGCATCAAAACA